TATAGGCTGAAATTATACTACAGTATTCGATTTCACTACGAATGCACAGAAAACAGATCACACTCTGTATCTTAGCCACGATGCAGCTGTCTGCTCATTCAAATAGAAGGGGCAATAAACTTTTGCAGCTCTAAAGGAAGGTCTTAGCACTCAAGAAGGGACCCCTCTAGCTTTTTCTTGAATAGCCATGTTNTTATAATATGCGACACTATGTTCTTTGCTGATATAAACAAAGTTAATACCATCCATTTATCATAAAAATTGAGCAAGATACAGCATTTTTAAACACAACTCTTAAAATTGATTAAGCGCCTAATAGGAACGGACATTTAAATGCAGAGTAGCAACAGGCATTTAAACGCGCACCAGCAGCGGGCATTTAAATAAACTCCGGCCAGCTCAAGCTTACCACTATTTCGAAGTCTGGCGTTTAAAGGTTAATGAGAGCCATCTACACTAATTACCCATGAACTATGAGAACCATTGCACCTAAATCTGTGATTAAATACTGGCAGAAGAAAAGGTTCATCAGAAGTTTCTGACCACAGATCTGAATTTGGGGGGTGGGGTTGGATAAAGCACATCCCTAGTAACATAAAATTGTTGTCTGTAGTAAGTATATAGTGNGGGGGGGCTCAGATTTCGCAACATGTCACAATATATATATATATACCATTTCTTGCACCTGACACTCGTAGCTGTGATTCATTTACATTCTCATAGTAATAAACTTATTATTACAAAATATACATTACATAAATCAGAAAGGTAAGGCAATATACCAGGCCATGAACACCAATGAGAAAGAAGAACACCAAATACATTGGCCACGTATGTTATCATAAGGGACTTTTGGTCTGGAAAGAGCTTTTTCTTTTTATTTAACTGGTATTTACATCTATTTTATGAAATTTTTCCTTTAAATATAGAAAACATTGACCTTTACCTCTCATGACATGTCTGATGGTTTTCAGTGAGCCGCCCCTCAGGTTAAGAATCTGGGTAACACGTTGCTTTATGGTAGATGGTCCCCCAGTACAAACTTCAAGAAGAATGTAGTCCACTAGCTGTAGTGTGAACAGTCCTCCTTCTAACCTACGCAAATAGTTCCGCTCTTCCTCTGCATCCTCATCTCCCTCATCAAGATCCTGCAGAATGAAAATGGCATACCTTCCAAATGAAAATACAGTTACGTTCATATGTCACTAAAACACATCCATATCTGTTTCGTCAAACAATTCTAAAATATTGTCACGTGTTGTGTATGTCATGCGACAAATAACTTCACGTGGGTATTGGATTTAGTGACTCTTTATTGGACACTCTCACTTATACACCATACAATTGTTATCGCTTGTGGTGTCACGTGACTTCTGCGACGTCTCGACTAGCTTCCAACTGCGTTGTATGAAGGCTAATTAGCTCTGTCGTTCTCGGCTTATGTAGGTATTCTGCGGACCGGATACGAGACACCATTCGCCAAGGTTCGATCTTACATGTTCGGCAATCCGTTGCTTTGGGAACACTCTTTATACACCGGTAACGTGTTTCGTCTCATCCGTTGTTACTCAATGGCCTTCTGTTGTTCATCTCCGGGGAAACGTGTTCATTGTTTTGGCATTGTCTACGCAACGGCTCGCTGTTATTGCGTTACCGTGGAAGTATCTACTCCAAACACGTTCCGTCTTTAGCGCGCTGAAGAGAGGTACGGTGAATGAGTTTGATTAAATACAAAACAATTCAACCATATAATGAGCAGGATGTCGCAAATTGAGGAAAGTCAAGGGCACAACTTAATCCCGCGTGGAACAGAAGACTCAAAACATATGTTGGTCGAAAATTTTATGACGATTACCAAAACATATCAGGCCATTGCAAGCACTCTGGAAACACGTAAGCCGAGTGAAATTCCTGAAGATCAACTGGAACAATTTCCAAAAATATTCTCAGTGCAGCGTGAATTTATGGTGAACCTGAAGGAAAGGTGGCGTGAGGCAGAAAACAATATACTGTACATGCCTTGCAGAAAGAGTTAACTCTCCAGAGAGGGGCAGCAAGGGATTCTGCCATGATAAAGAATCAACATGGAAAGGGGGAAGAAGAACTGAAGGGTATCACAGATTTGCCAGTGTGGATGGAGAAGTCACAATCTGGCACAGATACGCAAATACAGTCGCCACAAAGAAAATTTAAATACCATTCTAAAGGAACATGATCTTCTGGGGGACAAAGCTAAGTCAGTAGGCCTATGTGGTGGAATGGAAATGATGTTGGGTGAACTTTCAAGCATTCTGAAGACTTGTGTTCTATGGAGGCTAATTCCAGGCTAGTTTCTTTGGCGACTACTACATTCCAACTAACTCACTCAAGTCAAAGTCACATTGCGACTGACGGTCAGTCAGTCAGTCAGTAAGTCTTGGCATCAAGCCCCATCTGGGGCTCATTACCAGATAATAATTATTACCGTTTGACAGTTACGGGCTTGTTTCTGTGGGGCGCCCTCTCTGACGAGAAGACGGGTCTGTCTTTTGCGTATGCTGCTGGCCCTTGCCAGCGCATTCTTTCTCGGGTCCGAATCCCTTGGGACTCGCGACCATATTTTACTGTTTCAGATTTGAGACTTCCCTTTTCGTCGCCTCCTACGACTCGCAGGGTCATGGTGGAGGTATTCGAAACCGCCTCCACACAGGTGGGGACTCTCACTAACTCACTCGTGGAAGCTGGGCTTTTATAACCTCAGCGGTTGCTATACAATGCCTTCTGTTGTCTATCACCGGGGAAACACTGCTTTGTTGATTCCGCGATTCCTACGCAACGGCCCATTGTTATTGCGTTGTCTCTGTGAGAACACTCCGTGTATTCGTCATAACCGTGGAGATTCAATGTTCTCGATAGAACGGCTCACTGTTGGGATTACAGTATCGCTATTGTTACTTCCTATGCAACGGTCTGTTCTAGCGTTTCCACTGCTCCCTTCTAAAGGTTGTCTGTCCCCGAACAGCCTAAAGGTTCTCCCTCTGTTTCGATTCCGCAGTGTTCTCCTGGCAACGTTCTCTGCCGTTCGTCCAACCGCATCCACCCCTCTCCTCAGTGGTGCTCGCCCCGAGCACTTCCATAGCCGAGAATTTGTCAGTCGCCTTGTCTCACATTCATTCTTCCCTTTCATTCGTTCTCTCTGGGGAGGCCGGTACTTCTATTACCGGTTCCTCCCATATAGGCAGTTTCCCTTTTTTCGTTTCAGAGGGGGTCGACCCCTCCATAAGGTCCAATTCATTTTTGTCTTCAGGCTGGTATGAGTCCCAACTATTCGTTTCTCAATCCCTAGTCCTTGGTTCTTCCTAAGGGTTCGGCTGGCTGTTCCCTCGATCCCATGATGCAGCTGCTGTCTTTTGTGCCATTTTTTTGGTCCATTGCTGCCCTCTGATTTCTCCTGGGGTCTCCGCCCTCTGGAGGTTCTTCTTGCGACGTTGTTCTTGGTCAGGATGTTCCCGATGATGTATCCCCAGCATTGTGCACTGATGCACAGAGGGACATCCTGCCGGGAGCGGTGACATATTTCTTCTGGCACCCATCCTGAACTTTGGTCCGTTCTTTCTTGAAGGTATCTCTCCTTTAACGTGCCACTGCCGCGCGTGGGGTTGTGTTCAGCCTGCAGATGTCTCTCATGCGTCGTTCCACTGTCGCGCGATGGGGCATCTTCTTGTAGGCTTGCATTTTCCGTGTCAGTCCCACACGGCGTGTTGTCCTTCTGTGCGTGACGGCCAATTTCTTCGGGGGTTCGCGATTTTCCCATACAGAGTCCTTCGCTTTCTGGCTGCGGCGCTCCGTGGCCAGTTTTCGGTCCCTACGCCGTTTCCTCGATTCTCCGACCGGCATTATCATGGCGTCTACTATGGGGACCTCTCGATGACCCACTATGGACTGCATCATCCTTTCCATCATTTATTTTAGTTCCTTTCGGTCAATCTCTCTCTGAGCCTTCCTTTCTTCCCTCTTGGCCATTCTATCGGCCTCCGCCTGTTCATATCGGGCGTCGGCCTTGGCCTGCTTGGCGTCTGCTTTTACCTGTTTTGATTTTACACTGGCGTCAATTCTTGCCAGCATTTCCATCATTCGTTGCATGTCGTGTTTCTCCATTTTTTTTTTGTGTAGGACGCGTGTTAAAGTTTGAAGTCAATTCTGACACCAGTGTTACGTGTTTTGTGTGTCACGCAACAAATAAATTCACGTAGGTCCCAAATTCCGTAGAACCTTTATTGTTCCTCACACTTACACAATCACACGTTTTACAATTGTTAGCACTTGCAGTATTACAATGACTGCGTACACTATGGCAAATACTATACTGCTTGCGGCGGCAGCTTTCTGAAGACTTGTTTTCTATGGAGGCTAATTCCAGGCTAGTTCCTTTGGTGACTACTATATTCCAACTAACTCATTCAAAGTCAAAGTCGCATTGCGACTGACGGTCAGTCAGTCAGTAAGTCTTGGTGTCGAGCCTGGGGCTCATGACCAGATATTTATTACTGTTTGACAGTTACGGTCATGATTTTGTCTTGCGCCCTCTCTGATGAGAGGACGGGTCTCTTTTGTATATGCTGCTGGCCCTTGCCAGTGCAGTCTTTCTTGGGTCCAAGTCCCTTGGGACTCGTGACCTTATTTTACTGTCTCAGAATTGAGACTTCCCTTTTCGTCGGCTCTTACGACTCGCAGATTCACTCTTGTGGAAGCTGGGCTTTTATAACCTCAGCGGTTGCTATACAATGCCTTCTATTGTCTATCACCGGGGAAACGCTGCTTTGTTTATTCCACAATTCCTACGCAATGACCCATTGTTATTGCGTTGTCTCTGTGGGAACGCTCCATGTATTCCTCATAACTGTGGAGATTCGATATTCTCGATACAACGGCTCACTGTTGGGATTACAGTATCGCTATTGTTACTTCCTATGCAATGGTCTGTTCTAGTGTTTCCATAGAAGTGACTCTTCTGGATTCCAAACACGTTATAATATCTTTACAGAGAAGTTATTATTTATGTTTCATGAGTACCACGATACAAAAACACGGGTTGATGAAAACAGATGACAGATACAAGTGCTTATTTATAGCGAATACATTCCACACAACACTTGAATTCAATCTCCTCAGCAGCAGCATGGAAAAACCAATCAAGAACACAATGTCCATGGAATATCTTAAAATACTATACCCACAGTTTTGTAGTTAATGTATGTTATCAAGTAAGCTTCTAACACCACTGGAAATTTGTACTTTCCAGTTAATAAATTCCCATGTGGATTATGTCCTGTACTGAATGCAGACTTGTTTAAAGTGCTATGTGCTATTGCAAAACTGAAAAGTTATATATCGCCATGTAGTGATCAAATTCTGGCAGAACTTATTCAAGCAGGAGGCGAAATATTACATTCTAAGATCCATAAGCTAATCGCTTCTATTTGGCATAAGGAAAAATTGCCTGATCAGTGGAAGGGATCTATTATTGTACCCGTTCACAAGAAGGGTGATAAAACTGACTGTAATAATTATTGGGGGATCTCAGTGCTATCAACTTCATACAAAATTGTATCCAATAATCTTCTCTCAAGGTTAAGTCCATACAGAGATGAAATTATTGGGGATCATCAGTATGGGTTTCAACATAACCGATCAACCACAGATCAGATCTTTTGCATTCATCAGATATTGGAGAAAAAATGGGAGTACAATAAGATAGTACATCAGCTATTCATAGACTTCAAGAAAGCCTATGATTCAGTTAGGAGGGAAGTATTGTACATTCATCTCATAGAGTTTGGGGTAATCATGAAACTAGTTAGGCTGATAGAAATATGTTTAAATGAAACGTATAGTAAAGTCCATATAGGTACACATTTTCCTATCCTAAATGGTCTAAAACAAGATGCTTCATTGTCATTGCTTTTGAACTTTGCTTTAGAATATGCCATTGAAAAGGTCCAGAAAGGAAAGGTGGGACTGAAATCAACGGGACATATCAGCTGGTCTATGCCGATGATGTGAATCTACTGGGTGATAATATAGATACCATAAGGAAAAAAACACAAACTTTAATTGATGCAAGTAAGGAGGTTGATCCAGAAGTAAACACAGAGAAAACTAAGTGTATGTTACTGTCTCGTCACCAAAATGCACGGCAAAATCATGACATAATGATAGGAAATAGATGTTTTGAAAATGTGGCACAGTTCAAATACTTGGGAACAACGATAACAAATGAAAACCCGATTCAGGAGGAAATTAAGAAGAGATTGAACTCTGGTAGTGCTTGCTACCATTCAGTCCAGAACCTTCTGTCGTCACGTCCGCTGTCCAAAAACATAAAAATTAGAATATACAAACTATAATTTTGCCTGTGGTTCTGTTTGGGTGTTAAGGAGAATATTTTGACCAAAGAGGGATGAAGTGACAGGAGGTTGGAGAAAACTGCATAATAAGGAGCTTCATAACTTGTACTCTTCTCCAAGTATAATTAGAATGATCAAGTCAAGGAGGATGAGGTGGGCAGGGCATGTAGCATGAATGGGGGAGATAATGAATGTATATAAGATATTGGTGGGAAAGCCAGAAGGAAGGAGAGCACTGGGAAGACCAAGGCGTAGATGGGTGAACAATATTAAAATGGATCTTGGAGAGATAGGATGGGATGGTATGGATTGGCTTGATCTGGCTCAGGACAGGGACCAGTGGAGGGCTCTTGTGAACATGGTAATGAACCTTTGGGTTCCATAAAATGCTGGGAAATTCTTGAGTAGCTGCAGATTTAGCTTCTCCTCAAGAAGGCTCAGCTCCATGAGTAAGTAAGTAAACTGAATGCAGACTTCTCATTTACCCAACTTCCTAAGGTATTCAATCACATCATGCTTCCTTGTTGCTGTTTCCATTTAAAAAAAAAATGGTTACTTTTAATTAATGGACACTTTGAACAGTCCTTGTAATAAACACACATATTTTATTTGTTACTGAAAGTAATTATTATATGGTTATTACTGCAACTGAAATGAAGTAAAAAGAGATGCTGTCAGTAGAGGAACAATGTCACAGGTAAGTATAATAAAGTGACTGAAAAATGTAACCAATACAAAATGAAGTGTTCTTTAATTTGACAAAAATGTTTCCCTGATCCTGAAAGATAAATCAAACCTACTTATATCAGATAGAAATAAGTATCACAAGAAGAATCTCAGGTTCAACATTCTGTCTAAAATATAAGCTAAACTGCAGTGAAGATATATATGTATATTAGACATTCTTATTCTGTATAAAGGCACAACTTACCCTCCGATCACGATCTATTTCAAGGTCAACTTCTTCTACTTTCTCCAGGTATTTAAAATGTAATTCCAACAGACGATCTACTTTCTCATGGTCATTTTCTGTGAATTTGCTAAGAAGACGTTGACGCTGTGGACCCCGACAGTTCCGTAACATACTTGCAATGATTGACACCACATGTTCTACATAGGAAGGAAATTGTTTAACAAATTACACACCCACAATGTTACAGAGTGCTGCAGTTTGAGCTTCTGATATGGGAACCCAGCGCTTCAAGACACACACACACATACATATCACCAGTCTATCTGTCCATCTGTCCCACATTTCCTCAAAATGGTACATCACAGAAAAATTGAAAACAGAAAACATTAATCTGGAGAGACAAGTGAAGAAAAACTGATAATTTTTTAATGCTAGTGGGGTGGGACTAAGTCCCTTGTACTGTGGCAACTTCTGGCCTATTATACCAGCCCCAGATGATAGGTTGATAGGTGAGGGTGCTTGTGGAGCAATTGGTGGAATGAAGATAGGCAGGGGAAACCGAAGTACTCGGAGAAAACCTGCCCCAGCACCACTTTGTCCACCACAAATCCCACTTGACAAGACCCGGGATCAAACCAGGGCCGCCGCAGTAGAAAGCCAGCAACTAACCGCTTGAGCTGTGGCGCAGCCCTAGAAAAACTGATAACTCTGTTGCTACATGCATGGATTTGAGTCCAAGCCAACTCACTTCCCAGTACTTCCCCTGTAAGAAAGGCACTGGTGCTGTCACAGCAATGAGACTGTAGCTAAGATATGGGGAAAACCAAATTTATCTTCTGCTGTTGCTACAATATGAGAAAAACCCAAACTATCCTCTGCTGTTGCTAAGATAACGGAAAACCCAAGCTATCTTCTGCCATTACTAGTACATGGGGGAAAACGCCAAATTATCTTCTGCTGTCTACAATGCAAGGAATACAAACGCTAACTTCTGGTGTTGCTACGACGCAGTGGAAAACCCAGACTCTCTTTTGCTGTTACTAGGATAAGGGAAAAAAACTAAACTGCTATAATACAGGAAAAACCACAAATTCATCAACATATTGTTATTCAGAAAATGGTAATGACTATGATATCTTTACTTACATTAGGGTATCCTCTGAGGAGAAATGTCTTTATCTTCCTATGTGTGCACATCGGAATCAGTCTAAAATCAGGTCTTGTGCCATGTCTTTATCTCAAAGTCTTCTCTTCAAAGCCTCAGCAATGTACTATGAATGTCTTCAGTAACTCCTTCATTACAATTTATGTAACTGTAGCTTATGTTCCTATTCTAATGTTGCATTTCATGCAACCAGTTATGTCTTTCCTACTAACATTCTAAATGTTACACGTGGTTAATTATCTATAAATTTACAAAAATCTCTTACACTTTAAATTAACACTTAAATGTTCTTAATTGTTCTTTCACTATTTGTGTCTTATTCTGTACCTATTCCTATACATTTATATGTTTATTCTTTTTTGTTTAACTGTCTAAGTGGTATTATATATTAGTGCTTTGGGGCTGCTCTAAATTGTTACTTTCTCTGTTGTTACCTTTCCTTGCATATAAAATTTCTCTCTTTCTGTTTTGTCAGACATGAACTTTGGGCTTCATGAATTATATAAGTGCACAACTTTCAAAATGGATGGTACTGTTTGTTCTCTTACTACAGACATAATGTTCATGATCAAATTTCCCACTGTGAAATGGAATTTCATTGCAGGTGCAACTTAGAACACTGTCAGCTGTCAACCTATATTTATATATTCATTATTGGAATATTACTGCACAACCAATGCTGTACATAAATGTTCATGCGTTATGCACATCTACTGTTTTCTGTTATGGCTACATGTACTGACCCTTTTCAATTAGCCATCTTTTGGTCATACATATATATATATGTATATGCATTTTTTTATCATACAGCCACCACCTTACTACAATTTATACACCTAAAAGGATAAAATACATTAGTATTAGGTCTAAGCTTTTTAGCTTGTGTCAAATAAATATTTGGTTACAATATCCCTGAATTATCATTTTGGTATAGTTGCTTTAATTTTCTCTTGCAATTAATATTTTGTTACAAGATCTAGGCTATATTGATACACTGTGTCTCTATATGTTGTTTTACTGCCATTATTCCTATATAACTTTGGTTATGCTGAAATGCTGCTTGCAATTGCAATGCCACGCATAATATCCAATTTAATGTACCTTCATGTTCTTCTGTTGTTAAAATACGTCGTCGATTCTTCTTAGGTGTTTTCATAAATAATGGGAATATGGTACGGAGGCCCAGGATGTCTACAAATTTGTTACAATTTTCTTTCCCATCCGGTCCAGACATAGCATGGTCCAAAACTTTAAGAGAACCATTCCGTGACAGCTTCTTCTCTCTGTAAGAACACAAACATTGATTCCTTTCATCACATGAAGCAAATATGAATTCCTGTGATACAGATATCAGTCACTATGAAGCAGATGTGGTCTATAAGAATGAAGAATTCGCTGAGTGTCCAGATAAAGGCATCTGAGAGTTTGGATGGTTCACACTGCAGCACAGACCAAACACATCTTGAATCACATAGTATCACATGACGCAGCACAATAACAAATGCACACTGTCTGATGAACAAATTACAATCTTTATATTAACAGCTAACAGTGGAGTCCAAAGGGTTCTGACATGGTGTATAACATTCTGAATTTCTGGGTTTTTGGACTTTGGCCATTGTCCGGTATTCTAAAACCTAGAGAACCCAATGTTTCGAAAACTGTATCTGTTTCCATTCTTGGGGGACCAGGGGGGGGGAAGACATCTACTCTGCTGGGTCCCTTAGAATACTGGATGACGGACAAAGTCCAAAAAGCCAATAATCCTGACAGCTAACTGTGTCTGTCCACCTGCCCATCCCTAAACTTCTGTTATCTCCTAAACAAAACACATAAAAAGAAAAAAGCAGAAATGGAGCATTCTCTCAGTTATGACACGGATATTTATTTGAAAATCAATTTAATGAACTCAACCATCACTGTATTTCCTGATTTTTATTTATTTTTCAGAAGGGAGAAACTATATAAATCGATCACAATAAATTTCGCTTGTCATTCAGATGAGTGCACACTGTTTAATGGACCACTCCATGGCTCTGGAAGTTAGTTGTCAGCTTCTCACTTCAGAGGCCCAGAAGATTCCACATGGGATTTCAGGCATACAGTGTGGCATCAGGGCAGGCCTTCTTCAATGTACTTATAAATATCATTCTGCTGATGCTGCATATTCATCTATCAATATCATCATCAAGAATGCCAAGGGATTCAGTCTGATTCCTCCTATCTTGAACTATTCCAGCATTTATCTTGAGGGACTGAGGGAAACCATGAAAACTACAATCAGGATAGCTTGTGCCCCATCTGAAATTTGAACCAAGACCCTAAATACAAGTCTAGAGCATTACCACTATACCAACCTGTTAATTACCACCACCCCTCCTATTTATTACACCTTATTTATAATGAACAAGGCCATAAAAAACTTACAACTGAAGATTCATAAAAAGCCATGAAATAGTTCGAGACTTTCATGAGGCAGACACACAAATACAGGGGGCTGATGATGCCAGTAGCCTATCTGTCCTTATAAAACGTAACTAGACATGCATATATACAGTACTCAAAGCCAGATGTACTTCTATGCAAATACTTCTACAATATCTCCCAGTTTCATGAATTTAAGTGACACACCTGAGCATCAGATTCATGAGTTGCAGACCTTCACCACGTAAGAAACGCTCTCTGTTGGGAGCATACATAAGACTGGAACACAAACAGTTGAACAGATTTTCCATCATCTCATGCTCTTCATTGGATGTTGGATCATGCCGCTTATAGAACTGTGTTAAAGGACACAAAAATCAAGATTACTCTAAACTCAGAAATATTGTATATACTGTTTAGGTATGTAAGATTTGAGGCTTTCACGGCAGTGACTATGAAGAAAGCAGTCTTCTGGGATTTGGCACCGTGTATATGTGGTGATACATGGTGCCAAATCCCAGAAGACTGCTTTCTTCACTGTTTAGGTATGTTTACTCACTAATTTCTGTGTGGAAAATGTAATGTCAGGTTAAAAAGTGAAAGATGTTCACAATGTCCATGGAATCTTTAAAAAATTATTAACTGCTATGAAATAATGTTCCAACGATAACCACATGAATAAAATGTAAATAAATTCTTATTAACGCCATCCAGCGTGATTGATAAATGTTCTTATTCTTTTTTTAATCTTTCACCCTTTACATGTTTCAGTCAGACGGAAGATTAGAAAAAAAGAAAAAACATTTATCAATCACACTGGACGGTATTAATAATCTTTTATACTATTACCAGTGTGACGGACCAGGATGGACCAAGATAATTTTTAAAATTATATTTCTCAATAGAACTATTTTACATGCATGATTACATTATCTTTCTTACAATTCTTGTCTCTATAAAAACATTTTTATTGCACATCTAAACACCTCTGAAAATATGGGATACCTCAAATAGGCAACCTTCCAGAAGAAAAGTCATGTATTCATAATATCGCTCATATGACGATTTTGATTCCCATCACACGTTGAAAATAGAATGTAGTAACATTCTAATGATGACATAATGATCTACACATTCTCAAAGATGTTTTAGACACAGTTTACATTTGAAACCAGTCAATAATAATGAAAATTTGGGTCCAATACTCCTTATGCAATATAAACAGAATGAAAAATATGAAACCAATTTTACTCTTGTTGTGCACACTAAATTCCTTCTTCACATTACTACCAATCACTGACATGCATGCACATTTTTTCAATTCCCAGAATAGTGTTAGGTTCATTACTATTAATTTGTAGTGCCATATTTCTCCAAGCATGGAATTTTATTCTAGTCCTCAATATATAACATCACACAACTGTAATGGTGCATAATAAAATTCCAAGTACTAATGTTCTGATTTCAGTAAAAACTAATGGTACAGGAAAAATAATCCTCAAATATGACATGCATCTCAGATTTAAAAGCAAAAATGTTGGAGAAAAAACTCACTAGATTTTCAGGTAAATACATCACAACATTTTAATGATTTACTGTGATGTGAAATACATACGGCCAACTGTTGCAGAATTACATCGATGCCCTCCAAGTCACCAAGCATCTGTCGGTTATCAGGCGTATCCTGAAGCAGAATGGACAGGATCTCACTGGCATAGAGTTTGTTGCTGTCAAATGGCAGCTTCACCCGCAAGCGTCTAAGCAACCACTGCAGGAGCCCTTGTCTTGCTGCATCTCCACATAGATCAGGCCGGAATTCTGCTAGGTTCTCAAATATTGCTGTCAATGAAATGAATTACTGGACTCAAACCGCTTACATTCATATGAGGGAGAGTCAGTAAATAGGTCATAAATATATATAAAACATAAAACATGTGATATTTGAACCTGGAAAAAACATTTCTCGACATTTCCTCCACCAACATTAATACACTTGCCCTTTGCTTTACTAGTGCATTGAAATCTGCAGCATATAAGTCTTTTGATTGTTGTCTCAGCCACTTCTGCACCTCTGCTTCAACCTCTTTGATATCCGCGAAATGTTGCACACCAGACCAAACAGAAGGAAGTCGCTAGGAGTGAAGTCCGGGCTGTAAGGTGGATATTCAAGAAGTTCCCACTGTAGTTCTTGAATTCTCTCCTGGGTTGCTCAGCCTGTATGGGGTCTTGCACTGTCATAATAAAGCAGCACCCCTCTTGCCAGTTGGCCTGGACATTTTCTGCGAATTTTGTCCCGAAGCTTCAAAAGAAGTTCACAGTACAACGCACAACTGACATTTTCACCACAATTCTGAAAATGGGCTAACAGTACGCCCTCAGAAACCCAAAACACGTTAAACAAAACCTTCCCAGCTGAGGGCATAACCTGGTTGGGCATCATCTATGACTTTTGAATATCCTTGAGAGAATTTCTCAAACTAGTTGTGAACCACTTTACACAATAAACACTTCCAACCGTAAATATGAAGCATTTCTTTTGGATATCCTTTGCAGTGAGTCATTTTGTCCACAAAATACGCACAACACAATGCTGCTTTTCGATAGTACACTCCTCAAGCATGGTCTCCACTCTTACTACTGAAACCAGCCTCTGAACATGCAGCATGCACATTTACTACCTAGATTGTCATAAAGCTTGACTGTGCTGCTACCTAGTGATACACATAGAAAATCTATTACATCCATTACAGCTGTTCTACTTCCATTTGTGACCTGTTTACTTACAATACCTCATAAAACTGAATAAATCTTGCCTTCTCACAAAACTTTCATAGCCATGTTATTAACATTTTCTCTCTGATTAGTAAATTATGTATACTATGTAGAATTTGAGGTTCTCACAGCAGAGTTTGCCACCTGCTTTCATGCTGGTATCTTGCTCAGCTTACTCAAACTTGAAGATGGAAGCGATATATTCCTCCGAAACATCGGTTGACTTTCAACGGACTACATGTTGTTATATCCCAGAAGACAGCACTCTTTATGTATACTACATATGTACTTTCAGTCTGATTATTACAATGAACCTGGTATGTGAGGTGCTGACACCTATTTAAGATCTTTAGTTTACTGTTCTTTCTTGAGGAAATAAGCACGCTTGTGGGATCATCATGCTGTGTATATGTATAAGATAACCAACTTTCATACAATCCCCAATGAATGTTACACTGCTGGAGACCACATTCAACTCATAAATTTTAATTTCCTACAGTCAGTAACAACAATATGGCAGATGCACAAACCTGAGTGGCAGTGACACTAGTGACACCTACAACTATGTTGCATGTGTGACACAGCTGTAGTTTCAAATGGTCTATGAGCCTTACAGATCCATCTGATCTACTGTTTTTATTTGTATTATCTACCCTTTGGTTTCTATCTGTTATTATATTTTGTACCTACTGTGATTTATGATGACACAATTGTTTGTTTTATAAAAGTCCCTCAGCTCTGATTATTTGTGCTGGACTATTTAGTAACTATCTGTTGCATTCAATCCGTGCCATGAAAAATCCTAGGGTGGCACTGGTACTGAAATTATTTACTTACTTACTTACTTACTTATGGAGCTGAGCCCTTCTTGAGGAGAAGCCAAATTTGCAGCTACTCAATAATTTCCCAGCATTTTATGGAACCCAAAGGTTCATTACCATGTTCACAAGAGTCCTCCACTAGTCCCTATCCTGAGCCAGATCTATCCAATCCATACCATCCCATCATGTCTCTCTAAGATCCATTTTAATATTGTCCACCCACCTTCGTCTTGGTCTTTCCAGTGGTCTCTTTCCTTCTGGCTTTCACACCAATATCCTACATGCATTCCTCTTCTCCCCCATTCGTGCTACATGCCCTGCCCACCTCATCCTCCTTGACTTGATCATTCTAATTATACTTGGAGAATGGTACAAGTTATGAAGCTCCTCATTATGCAGTTTTCTCTAACCTCCTGTCACTTCATCTGTCTTCGGTCCAAATATTCTCCTCAACACTCTGTTCTCAAACACCCTCAGTCTATGTTCCTCCCTTAATGTCAGAGACCAAGTTTCACACCCATACAGAACCACAGGCAAACTTGTAGTTCTGTATATTCTAATTTTTATGTTTTTGGACAGCAGACAAGATGACAAAAGGTTCTGGGCTGAAGCATTATCTGAGTTCAATCGCCTCTTATTTTCTCCTGAATCAGGTTTTGATTTGTTATCGTCATTCCCAAATATTTGAACTGTGCCACATTTTCAAAACATCTGTTTCCTGTCTTTATGTCATGGTTTTGCCCTGCATTTTGATGGCGAGACAGCAACATACACTTAGTTTTCTCTGTGTTTACTTCTAGACCAACCTCCTTACTTGTGTCAATTAAAGTGTGTGTTTTTCTTTATGGTATCTATATTATCACCCAGTAGACTGAAATTATTTATACCTTTAAAAATGAAATAATGGTGCCTGAGGGAGGCTGTCAGCCAAATTCATGATGTACTATATTGCCTACAAACTCCATCTCATTTTTTTAAATATTGGGAGTGATTTCTAATTACTGGTCACACAAGTGTTTGGTTATTGTAATCATTTTCTCCCATTCCTAAAATACTTGTAGGTTAGTGCTACTTTTGGGCACTGTGATATATTAGTGACTTTGGTCTTGAAAGTGATGGTGATGAATGCAATTTTTCAAAGCTACAGGGATCCATAATTCTGCCTGACTTGTGAGATATACTGTGAACAGTAAACACATTTGAGGAGTTCTGTCTTCTGAGCTATAACACCAGGTAGGCTTGGGAAAATTCACAGATAGAGGGGGGTAGGGGGTAATATATCAACTTAGTCCTCAGACAAGAAGAGTAAGCCAAGCAAGAAACCATTTTGGGCACTGTAAGCAGAATTAAAAAAAAAACACACACACATTTTTAATACAAAGTTCTGTATAACTTTGGGAAGAATGTAGTACTTACCAAGTGTGTTATGCACACCTTCAGCTTCTTCTTTAACAGTCTCGTCTAGCCTCTCCAAGTTCTGAACAAGCAATGCACAAATCTGTTGGCTGAGCAATGCATCTATAAGGCTATTAGCTCCCTCTTCACTCTCATGCAGAATATCTACGTCCGTCAGCTCCTGCCATGCAAATCATTTCAGTTAATGAGTAACAGATAACTGGCTGTAGTAACCTGATGACTTCTGTACCATAAGATGAAGACCATACACGTATAATTATTCCTGTACCAGTCAGACATTACATACACTACATTACTGTCTTTTTCTAGAAACTGCTTTACACAAACATTTCCACCATCATCATGTAAGATAAAAGTAAAGTTGTTGCTATGCTTAATTAAGCACAATGCCATGAAGACAGGTGGAACAGTGAAGGTATAGCTCCATGCATACTTAACTTGACAGCAGATGGAGGTGTGTGGTTAATTTCACACTCCAGCTGCTTTACCCCTGGGCAAAGAGTCCCTAGTACTCACAGGACAGGAGGGACCCGGACCCAGTGTGGTTGCTATAGGGAAAACAGTGCCTGCCAAGATCTGAACACTGACCCCCTGGTTATTCAGCCTATACCATAATTGCTATACTGACTGAGCTATCCCAGCTCCCAACATGTCATTTGTGTTACTTACATTTATGACTTCTGCATAAAATGCTTTGATCAGATGAACATTTAATAAATTTGATCAAAAATGCCCATATCTTCAACTGAGGCAGAAGCTCCACTTGTTGAAGTACAGTGAGTTCAACAGCAGAAATCATATCCATCTCTCTGGAGATAATTATAACAAAATGGATGTTAGAGAGACAGGATGGGTGGTATGGACTGGACTGATCTGGCTCGGGATTGGGACCAGTGGAGGGCTCTTTTTAACATGGAAATGAACCTTCAGGTTCCATAAAATGTTCTGAAGTTCTTGAGCTGCTGGACAACTGGCGGTTCTCAAGAAGGTTTCAGCTCCATGAAATTTGTTAATCTCACTTGATATTAACTTGCTTAACTTTTCATTCAATTTGAATTTCTCTCCTAATATTATAATTTTCATTTATTTTTTGTAGCCAGTTTTCATGACTTCTTATACCATCTTCTTAAAGTATAAAACTAGGATTTTCTCCCTACTTAGAAGATTTATGGCCATAACTTATGACTCACATGGGCTTTTATGACACACGTTTAAATTAACTCTTTTGCATAATGGGCAAAGACTGCAACCAGAACCACATAACAAACTTATCTCTGCAGAGATTTCTAAAGAAAAAATGCTTGCATATATATCTTGTAATTCTAAATGACATAAAAATAAAACTCTGAAAACTCGAGCTAAAAAGTGTGCACTAAGAGAAAGAATTTTCTGCCGTGGAATATCTACCCATAAATTGAAATCAACTGGTGTATGGCCATTCTTTTGCAGTGGGCCATGTTACAGACTGAATTTCTTCACACTTTATTGAATAGCAATCTTTAAACTGCATAGGTTATATAGAGCAGAATGGGAAAATGACATTGAATGCTGAATTTGGAAGATGCGGAAAGGAATGGTCATGGCCTACTTTTCAGTACAGCATTTGTTTCAAGGAATGGAAGAAAACGAACCATAATCTTGATCAGGACATGTATCCTACTGGCTCTGAAGTGAACCTGGAACTCCTGATACAAGCAAAAGTGCCAAACATTCAACTTCAAAGTTTAAATTTTGATGAAAGACAGATAAATATATTACCACATATTAATTATATAGATACCTGAAGCAAGTCAACAACTGCCACAGCAATGTCTGTATTATCATGAGCAAGCAGTTCCAGAAGAGAAGGAACTGACTGAAGCTCCACCATAATGGGATAAAGGTCTGGTACAGTAGCCACAGCATGCATCTCCTGTATTGTTTCATGTAACTCCACCTCTGATTCCATAAACCTGCAGGAAAGTTAGGACTCTCATACATCAAGTCTTTTTATATTCTGAGAAGAAACAAAACATTAATTAAAAAAAGAAAGATGTAAATTCAGGCTAACATAATAAAATTAGGAATGCAAAACATACTTTTCTGGCATGTCTGGGAATTTTATTCTCATCTCCTGATTTTTGAGTGCCCGTTTTTCAAAGAGGAGAATGAGACGTTTAAGTGCCGAGTCATCCAAAACTTCTCCCTGAAAGCAAGAGAAAATTATAAGCAGAAACGCAACAACTTTACATTCAGTGCATGCATCAGACCTCTCAAATCCAGCACCCTTGGTATCAGACCAGAGCTGGACCGCAGAATTTTCCATGGACAATAAATGATGGTACTAAAACACCTAAATAAACCATATTTAGAAGTAAATAACAAAGAAAGAACAAGTAAATAGTTTTAATAACTTAGGGTACACAATTACAGTATCAAACAACACAGATTTAAAAATAAAAGTGAACAGATTTAATCAAATGTGAAGCATAATATGAAGAACACTGAATAAGAAGACAAGGAAAGCGACACAGATAAAGTTCTATAAAGCTATGGCGGTACATTCACTTACACATGAATCTGAACTATGGACTACAACAAAAGAAGCAGAAAGAAAAAACTGAAAATGCAGAAATGAAATTCTTGTGGAGCTAGAGGCTACAAAAGGAAAGACCAAATAAGAAATACTAAAAGATCTGAACATCTTTCATCTAAATGAAACTACAGAGCAAAACACCGACATCTGTGCTGTATGCACTGTACCATAACTGATGGATGTAAACAAACATTGACAAACTATGGACATCGAGTGCTGGTGGCAGGTGAAGTTGCTGTTCAGCAAACTGAACTTGTGCCGGACCATGGGGGGTGCCAAACCATGGAATGCTGAATCTCAAAGATCTGATCTAAATCAATCAGGAAGGTAAAATGCAAAAGGCTGTCCCACAATACACTGGGATAGGCAAATTAATGTATGATGTTTAATAATTATGTAATCAGGCTCTTTATGAAGCAACTGTCAACACTGGAAAGTCAACATGTCATTTCACATGACTACATGACTTTACAGTTCAGTGTCAAATAGTTACTGGGGTTCAGTTCATTTTAGGTTACAGTAAAGTTTTATTGGCTCCATTTTTCAATTTGTTTGTCAAAGACATGGAGAACAAATTATCAGAACAAAGAATCATTACAAGACTTTTAGTAATATTAAAGAAAAATGCCACTAACATTACAAGATGCTACAGCAAGTTTATGGAGTCAGCTTAATAAGGATACAGATTATGGTTCGATTAACTCTTTGGTGCTATCCCACATCCTATTAAGTCTGAACATCATGTTGCCAACTGCTGTATTCAGAATGCCATTAAATTTGAGCATTCCTTGCATGACTGATTTTAAAAAAAATTCTCTGTGTCTGGTATGCTATGAAAGGAATTTTTGGCCATAAAACAAATAAAAGTGATGCGACCATAATCACATTCACCTCACATGGCCTCATTTGATCTTTTATACTCCCAAAACAAAATGCACACAAACCTCAACTTCCTCACTTTCGACCAGTTTCAAAATCTTTTCTCTCTCCTCATCTGTTATTGGTTTTTCTGTTGTTACTGTTTCTTCTGGTTCCTTATGCTGTGGCTTTTGAATTCTTTCAATCAGCTCTGCTTCCCTGGCACGAGATTTAGCCACTTTACGCATTTTACGCTGACGTTCAAATTCATTTTCATAATCCTCTTCTTCATTGTCATCATCCTGGACTCTCTTTGGGGTATTTGGGGGCTGCAAGGAAATACATAATTTTAAATGTCATTTTGATTTAGCAAGCAGAGTCATCTGAACAAGACTGAATGATTATGAATTCAGATACTGGACATTCTTACAGCATACCTTCATATTATCCAGCGTCATAAGAACATGTCTTGTAATTAATAAATAATAATATAAAACTGTGAATTGCTTTGAAGGTACAATCAGTTTGCTGTAGAGGAAGTGTTTGGAACAAGCACAGGGTTACTTGCAAACAATACTTAACCTCTTTGGTACCAGTCCACTTCTACAGTCTGTGCACGCATACTTAACATGAGGCACAGGTTGTGAATTCTATGTGCGCTATACAGAATGATGTTATTTTATGCAGAGACAAAATAAAAAATTAAACCAGGATTATTACATTCACCAAATCCTTATTTCAGATTGGTTTAAATATGTTATGATAAGGTAATCATTTATATATGTCTGTTTTCCTTGTATGACATTTTGACATAACTACGCCATGCAACAATAAACATACATCAGTCCACCAAAGCATCTCTCTGGTTATATACAATATTTATCACATTAGGGTACGTAAGCATATGTTTTTATAGCCTGCAGATTTAAAGATTGCAACATTTTATCCCATCCACAATTCTTCTTCCTCTGTCCTTCCGGTACGTAAATTTTTGGTAGAGTTCATTTGCGTAAAGACATACCCAGACCACATTCTTCAGTTTTCCAAGATTTGTTCTTATATCTGAACAAATCCAAATTGTGGAAAGTTATGTTTGGTTAGTTTGATGTAATTTATACTATTTTCATTGAAGTTTCGGTAAGGACCAAGGAAACAAATTTTGTATAAAATGTGAAGGTAGAGGACATCAAAAATATGCATGCTAAAGGAGTTCACATACACAGACACTGAAGTGTAAATAAAATAAAACAAATGGAGAAGTGTAATGCGAAACACTTGTTAAGCAAAACAATTTTTCCCATATAAATTAATGTAAAATACGATAATGCATTCCATGCCAAAAAAAATACTCAAAAAATTTTATGTATAACCTTTATTCAAAGAAAATTATATATGCATTGTTAAGGAGCGTGAATCATCTTCATCTTTTCTTCTATGTGGAATGAACCAACCTGGAATGCGAATTCGATTTGCAGAAAAAAAAAAGATCAAAATAATTAGTTTATTATTTATGATATATATATCTAATTCCTTTTTACTAGAAAGCTGTCTAGAGACATTTGTTTTTGCCGACGCTTCAAAATTCAGTGAAAATGAAACACAGCATTATCATTGAATAAATTTGTAGTGCACATAGCCACTGCCTTATTAGGGTGATGCTTCTCAATGTACAATGCTTTTCAATGATTTTACGTTTCATTTCTACGGTTTTTTTATTCTCTTATGGCTGTCTTTTTGCAGCTTTTTCTTCAGGGACATTTTTGCAAGGGTTATTAAACTTTGCACAAAAAAAATCACAAATAATATGTCTGAACACGAGTTTGGAAAAATGTGTGATCACAAGCGACACTAAGATACTAAGATGCTAGCGGAACGAGTGCTAAACACAGACTGATGTAGCAAGCTCACAATCCGGGACTTCGCTCATTAAGCGAGTAAAAATAAGGAGTACTACGTGTAACAATGAAGGACTACAAGCTCCGGGAACTAAACGGACTGAGGGAGCTGTTGGAATAAGAAAAAGGAATATTTCACATAACATTACATGTAATACTTATTCAGAATATTCCAGTCATAAATACTACGCAAATCAGCAGAGTACAACCGCCGCAATACACAAAGAAAAAGAGTGTATTAGGCGATCCGATGTTTCTGGAAAGTCTTGCTACATTGGAATTGGCAAAAGGAAAAATAAATATAAAACACAAAATAGTGCTAACTGGAGACAGTCATGCCAGGGGCTTTGCTAGTGAATTACAGGAGAAATTTAAAGAACAATAGGAAGTGATAGGCTATGGTATACCTGGAGCAAATGTCAAAGTGTTGACTAAAACTGCACAGCAGGAAACTGGTGGATTGACAGGAAAGGACATACTCATATATTGTGGAGGGTCAAATGACATTATGAAAAATAATACCTCAAGAGGAATTTAGTGGATATATCATTTTTTGTTGGGGAATCAACACCCCAATATCATAATTATGGGTGCCCCCATATGCATGATTTGATGGAAACGTCAATAGTTAATGAGGTTAAAGTTTTTAAAGTTGAATGATGTTACCAACAAAGATAGGCATACAACTATGATGCATATAGACCTAAAAAGAGAAGATTTTATACATCATGGACTACATATAAGAAATTCAGGTAAAGACAAGCTAGTAACGCTACTAATGGAAAAAATTGAAATGCAGCTGCAGGAAATCCAAATTGGAATGCCAATTAGTCTAAGATGGAAGGAGGGGTGCAACAATAATCTCAGTTGATGATCAGGGAATAGCCAGTGTAGTGTCGCAAACGATTCCCCCTAGAAGACGTCGGAAGATCCTGAATACGAGAAGTGAGGAATTTTTTATGGGAATAACTCAAAATGGAAACAATAGTCAGCAGAATTCTCTTGTCATATATCATCAAAATATAAGAAGCATTAGAAATAAAGAGAAGAAGTAGCTATTTTTTAAATGATGTATATAATAATCCTGATATTTTATGAATTAGTGAGCATCATTTGAGCGCAGACGAGCAATCCATGTTCTTCATGATAAAATATAAAATGGCAACAGGTTTTTCAAGTAATATGTCTAAGAATGGAGGAGTCTGTATATTAGTTAAGAATAATATAACATATCAAAAGCTAGATCTTAATAAGTTAAGTAAGGAGAAGGTTTTCAAAGCCTGTGCGGTGAAGATAATTATAAGTAATAAGAAATTAGGTATTTTATGTCTCTACAGAGTACCAGATGGGGACATCAGCCAATTTATTGAGCAGCTGGATGCTACACTTTCATATTTAGTAAGCCTTAAATTGGAACTGATAATTTGTGGCAATACAAATATAAATTACCTTAATGAAAACCATAAAAAATACAGTTACAATCCTTATTAGATACTTATAATCTAGCTCAAATAATTGACTGTCCGACTAGAATAGGTCCCACTTCTGTCACACTCATAGATCATTTCTTCTTAGATAAAAAGGTCTTCAATAAATTTCAAACCCATTCTGCAATAAATGGGTTTTCAGACCATGATGGACAAATCTTAGTACTTGAAAATTTACAGGTGATAAAGAAAAGGGACCGTGTAAGAGCATTTAGGGATATCAATGACGAGAACATATCATATTTCCAACGGGCATTACAAAACGAAAATTGGGAAGCAGTTTATGATCAAGAGAACGTTAATATGAAATTTAATAAATTTCATAATACCTTCTTAACAATTTTTGAAAACAGCTTTCCCCTGGCGTACAAAAGAAAAGAGACACCAATAACTGTATAACCAAAGGTATACGAACATCTTGTAATCATAAAAGAGCTTTATACAACTTCGCTAAAAAGTCAAAGGATGAAACATTGGAATCATACTATAAAAAGTACTGCATGACATCATCGAAAGTGATAAAAGAAGCTAAGAAATTGTACTACCAACAACTTATAAATAACTTGGAAAACAAAATACAATTAACCTGGAATATTAATAAAGGAACTGGGAAAAGGAGGGGNTATAAATTACCTTAATGAAAACCATAAAAAATACAGTTACAATCCTTATTAGATACTTATAATCTAGCTCAAATAATTGACTGTCCGACTAGAATAGGTCCCACTTCTGTCACACTCATAGACCATTTCTTCTTAGATAAAAAGGTCTTCAATAAATTTCAAACCCATTCTGCAATAAATGGGTTTTCAGACCATGATGGACAAATCTTAGTACTTGAAAATTTACAGGTGATAAAGAAAAGGGACCGTGTAAGAGCATTTAGGGATATCAATGACGAGAACATATCATATTTCCAACAGGCATTACAAAACGAAAATTGGGATGCAGTTTATGATCAAGAGAACGTTAATATGAAATTTAATAAATTTCATAATACCTTCTTAACAATTTTTGAAAACAGCTTTCCCCTGGCGTACAAAAGAAAAGAGACACCAATAACTGTATAACCAAAGGTATACGAACATCTTGTAATCATAAAAGAGCTTTATACAACTTCGCTAAAAAGTCAAAGGATGAAACATTGGAATCATACTATAAAAAGTACTGCATGACATCATCGAAAGTGATAAAAGAAGCTAAGAAATTGTACTACCAACAACTTATAAATAACTTGGAAAACAAAATACAATTAACCTGGAATATTAATAAAGGAACTGGGAAAAGGAGGGGCCAGATAATATAACCAAACTGAAAGTGGGGAATAGCAAAGTAACCAATACTAAGGAAGTAGTAGAAGCATTCAATAAATACTTTATTAGCTGAGAATCTGGAAACGAGAAGTGCCAATAAAAACGAAGCTATTAAATTCTTAGACATTTTGAAATTTGATAAATTCCCTGAACTGAGGCTAATACCCACAACGGAGGTGGAAATAAACAGCATACTTATGTTGCAAAAATCAAAAGATTCTACAGGATATCATGGCATTTCTAGTAAGATATTGAAATACTGTATAACTGAGATAAGTAAACCATTGTGTCACATATTTAATGCATCTTTTGAGCATGGAATATATCCTGAGAGAATGAAATTTGCCTCATTAAGACCTAGTCACAAAACAGGTGAGAAGGCAATTATGGCAAACTATAGACCAATATCATTACTAATAAGTTTTCTAAGATTTTTGAAAGAGTGGTGTACAATAGGACAAAGCAACAAATACATACAAACAATTTAATGTCTTTTGCACAGTTTGGATTTAAAGAAAACAGTAACACAGAAATGGCAATATACACATTAACTAATCATATTTTAGAAACGTTGGAAAGATGCAATCATTCATTAGGAATTTTTTGTGATTTGACAAAAGCATTCGACTGTTGA